GCCCATAACTTGTATTCTAAAAAGGATTAATATCATTATTAGGTTGAATAGAAATATGTACTGATATGAAAAAAGAATTTGATGATAGTTTGATTAGAATGAAAATTCACGGGAACTACAAAAAAATATGAAAATATAGGCCATGTGTTTTTGAGGATCGGTTGAGGACAGAACACTGAAACACCTGCCATACTAAATTTGATGTGTAATAAAATTACGTATACTCTTAAACTCATTATTATAACCGTTTATTTCGATTTATAATCATAACAATAATAAATTATAGTGATTAAACTTGGTGGTTTCCTAAAAATAACTTTTATAGTTCTGATGTGACTTTCACTACGATTAGAAAAAAATTATAGTTCCTTTAATTTAGTAATTGATTGAATAAACATTACTTATCACCATACTTTTGATAGTTCTCTATTCATGTCATTTTGTGTCGTTAATTGCCGCTAAGTTTAAATCATTCCAAATTCAGTACGAATTAAGACAGTCGCTTTTTTCATAAATACTTCATAACTACATCTTATTCATCCGTCCTATGATAATACCTAAAACCTAACAATTTCTGTTTCATAATGCACTGCGTTTGTCAATTGCATTTAGCGATTTAAAAAAAGTTAAAATTATCCTTTGTTATATTGTATCTAGATTGTCTTAATAGGTTGTAACTTCGTATAAGGACATTATATATCTTCAGTTTCCAAAACAGAGCCTTCCTAAAGTTTATTAAATTTAAATTAGTTGTCTATTTAGACATGCTGACTAATTAAATTTTCCACTAATTATTTTTCACTACGATTTTATAACCATCCTATCTAGTGTAAAGTTAATATTCGTTACAAACTGTACTAAAAGTCATATACAAGCTCAAACTAATGATCTTTCGGTTGAATTCTCAAATAAAATAAAATGAAGATAATCTATGTTAGAAAAAAAAACTGACCACTTTTTGAAATTATTATTTTCTATCTTTATGGAGTAGTGAAAAACAAAGCTATTTTGTTCAGTATCCATTACTGTTGACTTTCGACTAATTCACAGGTGGTAGTTTTTATAAACATATTTCACTAAAAATAAAATCTAGATGGACAAGCTGAACTAGACTACGTCACATACGAGATAAAGATCACCTATATCAATGGATGATATCTATGCATTAACACAAAATGATTGAAATTAAAAATATAAACCACTCTATGTCAATTCAGTGGCACTCGCTAAGAGTTCAGAGAGTTCTGAGTTTAACTGATCAGAGCTATGCATGCATACTCTTAAGGAGTTCTATATTACGAAGAAATAATTGGTTCTTGTTTATTGGCTTCCAGTTGCTATCTATTTAAAATCAGTTGTTGTTTTTTTCAAAATGTAAACTATAAATTCAACAGTTTCTACAATTCCCCTATACTAACAGTGAATTCATAATGTTATCATTATTTGTTATATGCACTTTAATCATTGAAGTTTATGTATTATGCAACATAAAAGTCAATTAAATGTGACAATAATTTCACCTAATTAATTGTTTATCACTTAATTTAATTAGTTCAGATGGGTTTTTTTTAATATTTAACTATAACAAACAATATCGTTAAAAAACCACGTCATATGTATATGTACAAACGATAGGAAGTAAACTCGCATGTTACTAAATAATTTAACTTAAATCTATCACACTAGAAAGTTACACTTCAAAGTGCACTGAAAGTAAATAAAATATTGACAATAAGAAAAGTACATTTGTGATGTATTATTTTACACTAACAGTATTGACTATTATAGTGTTTACTTCGTTAAAATATTATGTACATAAAGTACATAATTGATACCTTTTTTAAACTGTATCATAAAATGATTGAGGATTTTTATTACAAACCGGCAGCAAATGATTTTTATAAGCATGATAGTACTGGACAACTTGTTGAGTCATGGTCTACTTTGTTATTAGTACTCCTCGAATAATAAACCTAATCCTAAAATTGTATATTTATCATGATGTGATTGCCTAATCTATAAAATCTTACGTGGAAGTAACATCATTGTCTACACTGACCCGTCCTATAGTAATAATCACCAATATATGATGATTACATTTAGACTGGAGACAGAACAATATATTTAATATGAATAAAAGAGATAAGTTACATAAGAATGACCACGCCTGCAAGGCTGAGCTATAACATCCCATTGAACTGAATTAATGTTCCCGAGTTCTTCACAGTTAACCTTCCCTTCGTGTAAGTTGTTGAATATAAGTCTTTTCAGTAATTATGTGCTTAGCTTCAAAGGTCGTGTGGTTAGTGTCTAATGCCATTACAACCTCTCGTGTTCCTATTTTGAGATTATTCACCAGGTGGTTACCGATCATTGAACTCATTCACATTCACATATCACTATGAGCAAGCATCACTGAATTATTCAGTCAGAAGTAATAATCAATAGTTTCACCTATGATAATTCCTCATTATAATTTTAAGAAACCCAATTGGAGGTTAACGATTTGCGAACCAAATGTTATTAGTAAATTAAGTGATGAATATCGCTTTTATGTTATATACTTAATTGAATTCATTTAATGAATAAACTTTTATTATGATGAAAAAAAGTAACTACCTATTATTCATTCTGTATATGTTAATTAACCACTCGTCAATGTAACAATTCAAAGTAATATCAAAAACATTAAGTTTTAAACTTTAGAGATATCTTCGGTATTAGGATGTCATAGACAGAAATTCAACATTAAATGATGATAACTGAGATTCAAGTGTTTGATTAAATAACTGAAAGATCCTTTCCTAAATCCATTATAATATTTTCAACTGGTAATAATCATCAACTGTAAATTATGATATAGATTACAGGCGTCCTGCTTGAATATCTTGGCTCCCTGTTCCTGCCATCTGGATATTTCAACAAGTTATATGTTTCCTTGTTTGTTTTAACAAATCATTATGCCTATAAGTCGCATAACTTATTCAGGTGCGTTTGTGAAAACTTTACGACACTTCGTTTTACAAGCTACAAAAGAGCCCAATCGGAAACATCGTGGTTGCTAGCAATGTGCATCGAAAAGAATATAAATTAATCAGATGTCTATTCCTGAACTGGTGACCACTCAATATTTATCGCAAGGGTCGATCAAGAAATAAGAAAAGGAAACTTGTTGAAATGGTTTGTGCTGAGAATTCCATATTGTACCAAAAATATAATATTGAATAAAGCTAATAATAATAGTAATAGTAATAATAATACATCATTTAAATAAATATCCGATCACGCCATATTCGATCATTATTATTAATAACGTTTTCTATCTCAATAAATACAACTCAGTTAACTAGTTTAATTTGCACAACGTTTCATGCCTAATATCTAAAACTAGGATAATAATATTAATGAATTTCGATACATGAATTTCCAGTAAATGGTTATTTCATACATTCGCAACAACTTTTAGGCGAATACTGATAGTTGTATGATTAAACATATTACCAACAATACAATGGATATTAGGGATACATATATTTATTAACCTTTTTATCATTGAGTGGTCTAGTACTTGGATTGTGGCTACCATTCTAAGTGTTTAGAAGCAAACAAACGTGATATTAGTTTCTACTCAGTGGCCAATCAGTTTAAATGCCTTGATCCTCCAGGAAGTTTCTGTTCTGTCTGTGACAGTGAGTCATAAAGATTTAGATCTCACATAGAATCGTTCGTTTCTTCAGTATTGTAAATATCCTTTCATAGTGAACATGATTTAACATAAAGTTAGGGTCTTTAGCTTTCTGCTAATTGCCTGGAACTATCTAACTTGAGCTACACTGAATGTTATCTTGGTTTATTTAAACCTATGGCTACATTACAACTTGATTTACATACAGCACAAACAAAGCTCACTGTCTGACAATTATAAACTACTATTTATTCGTTAAAACTTAAGTTCACTGCTTGGGAAATAATTACTAGTTAACCCAAAACAGCTCACTCTGTAGTGGACTAATTAGCCTAATTATTAAGCAAGTTGTATTACTCCGAGTAAAGGGAGTTGAGAGTAAACTAATGGTACATATTCTCTTTTTAAAGAATGATTTGATAGTTCTGTAGTTTGATTCCTTGCTGTAATAAAGGATAAACATATTTCCCTACTCATTACTATTCAAAGTCAGTTATATTGTCTCCAATTTAGATCCATGCTTAGAACATATTGCTTCAAGTATTAAAAGATAATTATTAAAGCTGTGAATTTACAGAGGTAATCTCCGTTTGATATGAGAAACATATCTAGTCTTGCATATTTGATTCGCCGAATCAAACCAGTTGATCAGCCTACAATAATATCAGAACATAAGTAACAAAAGTTATCGGAAACATGCTAACAAAAGGCCTATATATATGATGATAATGAAATGAGATATAAAATCTAATAAAACTCAGTAATCTGGACACAAAATAGTATTTTAAGTGCATATTCATCTGAATTCACTTATTTCTGGAAACCTACTTTAAATATAATGTTTAATCTACTCATCTACGAGGTAAATATAATACTAAAGTGGTTAGCGTGTTTAACATACATTATAAATCCTCTTCAAACTTTACTTATCTCTATAATGCTAACTTCCAAAGGAATTTATCATTTCGATTGGTTCTTTTAATTTAGTTGTTTGCCTTTCTCTTAAGTAAAAACAAAAGCATATCACCGTTTAATTAGTAGTCTTAGAATGCAGCTATAATAGAAATGAATTTGTAACCATTTCAATAAAATAAGTTAACTGTTCAGATAAGTAAAAGGACAAGAGAATTTTTTGTTAATGAAAAAAAAGTACACATACGAAGCCAATTGTATCATGTAGAAGAACAAGTGAATGAAGAAAGAAATCTCTATTCTATAACATGAACTATTTTTTGTTGTTGGATTGTTCAGATTAACAAGTAAGTAATATCAGTTTATATTTTATTTCGTAGTTCTCTCTTTTTTTCTTTTTTTTGATAAGAGAACAAAAAGAAACAACCAATTCACACATTAATTTAGGACACTATAATAATGAACGAATCATAAAACTGAAAAGTTAAATCAATTTTATGAAGCTCTACTGTAATTTGTTAATTTTCATTACTAAACGATGACAATCTTTGTGAATCACTTTTAACCATAAACTATCAAATAGATGTTCTCTTTTAAAAACTTGTTAACAATGTACAACTATTACATTACATGGGATCATGGAGATAAACGTTTATAGTATTTGTTCATGAATATGATACGATTATAATATATAGTAAATATCGAATGCATTATTCAATTTGAGAATTAGCTTGATAATTACTTTATTACCAACATGGTCAACTTCATAAGTCATGTCATACAGACTTTGTTAAAATGTTATTTATTTATGGAAGACATTTATAACTTTGAAAAATGACATTTCCGTGCAGTACGGTTTTAAAAATACAAGCTACGCAATTGTGTTACAATATCAAGTAACTTGATAATTTGGCACTTATAAATTGAGTCTACTGTAAAAATTCTACTAGCTTTTTGCAGTTCCAGGGGTATCTTTGTCATATTTTAGTTGATGTCAGTTTCAGTTAAGGAGTATTTCGAAGCTAAAAATTCACCTAAGTAATGTATGAAATGATCCTTGGACAACACGTACTGAAATTAAAAAAACTAACCACAAACTATGTTTTCTAAAGTTCTAAATTTAAAACTGAACTTAGAAATATTTCGAATATCTGAAATTGGTTAGAGTAGGAAAACAACAACAGATTGTTTGTCTTTTAAAGATATTCATATGTATTTAGGGACTTGTTTCTTTCACAAAGACTGATCTCAGAAAGCAAGCTAGATAAAAATCGCAAACCGGAAGATGTTATACAAGTGTAGTCTTTGAAACTCCTCACCAGAATGAACCGGTGACTGCTCTAGGGATGGATAATGCTACCTATAGGCTTAGCACCGATCGCTCTACATTTAATCGACTTGGTTTTCATTCGATGATAAACATTTTCAACTTCAGTCGACATGCGGTGTTATTCAATCATCATTAGTTACCGTCTGAGACAACTCCTTCATTTCTGTGATCATTGGACCCCGCTTCTCACTAGCAATTCAAGAATATGTCTTATAATTGAGAGATTAATCATTATTAAAATAAAAGATTTGTAGAGGCATTCTGAACTAGCATGATATATATTTTCAATGCTTTCTGATTTGGAATAATTCTTCAGTTCATATCATTTGGTGAAGAAAATTACTTACAAAAGTCCTACATTTATGGATAAAAACCTAGAAGCTTAGAAATAATTATCCAGAATTAGTGAATACAATTAGGACAAAAGATTTTCCTTGCTACTGATTGGTCACAAAACATCAGTGTAAAAGCTTCGACATTATTCAAGAACTGTAACGTAAAGTTTAGAGCGGAATTATTTTTTTACTTTAACTCACACCCTACATACCTACATTTAGTTTATCCGGGACAATGCTTCCATGGTTTTCATTGTTACCAACTTATGTACCTTGGTTATAAATTACCTGAGAATATACAGAAATTGAACAAGAAACGTATCTCATGTAGAGACGATAATGTGTATTTGTTACTAAGTGGGAAAGCATAAAAGTGCATTTAGCGTAGTGACAAGTCATTTTAATAAAGTAAGACCTAGCTGTCAGCGTATATACACTTGATTTTTCAACGTTCATTAGGACTACTGTTGTTATTTACATGTTTTTATTGTTACCAGGTTAAAAAAGCAACAATTTTAGAACCACAAGTGTATGTAAACAGGAAATCTCAGTTCTGTTGCTTTTTGTTAAGTGTGTTGGTTAATTCAAATACTACTTTTTCAAGAAAATACCTTCAAGTTAATCTGGAATTATCCTAAGTTATAAAAACGAACATTTATTATATATTAACACACGACAAAGTAAGGAAAATGCAATTTTCCGTGACTGATCATCACTATGAAACTGAGTGAATTTAACTCAAAAACACTTAATCATGCAGAATTATGTACACAAATGAAGTTACAAATAAAAAAAAACATTCTATCCACTTAATTAGTTGACAATTCGTCTAAATTACATGATTGATAAACACTGAACAACACTTTCAAATCAATGAAATTTTTAACAGTTTACGGCTATTATTGTTGCGATTATCTCTATTATAAAAATGAACAAATAATCCTTTCTGTTGTAAAACCCATATAAAATAGATGATTTTTTAAAAAGGCTATTTATAATATATTAATCCATTTATTGGATCTAATTTCATCTCAACATTTCAAATAGGATCGAGTTGTATCTGTTTAGTATCATTCGAGTACTGAGTAATAATCAATGTTATGTTGTTTGAGTTCTTTGTACTAATCAGATTCTTTCGATCAGATTTGTAATGCTGATACTAAACTAATGTGATTTAATGTCACGATGAATTTTTTTAGATAGTTGTATAAAATCGATATGAGACACTGAATCCGGTTTCTGGGCTAGTTTGCATTCATAATAAATCTCCAATATATTGTCACATTTATTTAGGAAGAATATCAATAAATTCTTAGAGTGAAATATAAAAATCAGTAACTTGTTTTACCAAAATTAATTAACTTATCAACTCACCAGTATGTTCATATTTGTGCCTGGATAGTGAACTATGTTTAGAAAATACTTTTTGACATTGATCACAAGCAAATACTTCCGTGTTATTGACGCCATCACTACAACTACTAATACTACCATTGATACTGTCATTAAAACTATTGTTACTTTTTCCATATTTCTCCAATTTTTCACAAACACCGAGATGATATAAATGATTATAATAACTATTATCATTGATATGGCCATTAATCTTTTTATCAGATTGAATACGATCACTGGTGTCTTGTTGTTCATTGATTTGAGTGGATGAATTTTCAGCATCTCTTAGCTAAAGGGGTAAAGAAAGAATCAAGATATATACAAAAAGATAACACTGAAAATGGTTACACAATTATAAGTCGTTTATACAACTAGCTTTTTTGTAGGAAAAAGATTGTTAGTTTCAGCGAAGATCATCTGCACTTGAACCGATTAACTAACTGACTACTGATTAATAATCATAAAATTAGACTTGTTACTTTTCATCATTCTAAATACTAAAATGAAACAACAATCTCCAAAAGAAATTTTATTCTCTAAACTATTAATAACAATCAGAATGCTGGTTTGTGGAGATTGTAGTAATTTTAATTGTTAAATACATGAGTCGATCTAAACTAGAGCACTATTGGAAACCTGGGAGCACTGGACGGCCGTTTCATCCTAGTATGGGACTCCTCATCAGCGTGCGTTCACGATTTCACATATGGGACTTGAACCCAGGACCTTACGTCTCTCGGGAGAGCGCCCAACCTCTAGACCACTTAGCTGGCATCCAACGGTGTTAATGTCTAGGACTTAACTGTTTGCGTGAGAGACCGGAGGTCCTGGGTTCAAGTCCCATATGTGAAGTTGTGAACGCGCACTGATGAGGAGTTCCATACTAGGACGAAACGGCCGTCCAGTACTTCCAGGTTTCCACTAGTGTTCTAGTTTAGATCGACTCATGAATTCAACTATTAAAATATCAATACTAAACTCATTGATTAAACAGTATGTCAGCATTAGTTACTTTTAAAAATTAATGTAAAATCTATTAATAACTGTTGTGAGATGATGAAATATCAAAGACAATCCATACAATGCAGAATAACTGTGTTGTTTTCTTGTTAGCTGTCAGAAACTCGAAATGAATCCGTATACTTTCATTTACTCCTATATATTGAGTGAGTAGAAAGTGTGTAAAAAATAAAATTATCTGGATTTCAGTTTAAATTAGTTAACGATCACTTTGAAAAAACTTTAAAATGTCTATATTTCTTAGCTAGTCTTCTGATTTGTCCACAACTTACAGGTCAATTAAGTTAAAAAGTTATTATGCACTTCATAAGATCATATTTGTATCCTGGTCTATTTTGTGTATTATCTTGTTTGTAACACGATTAAAATACCCATAGTTATATGTATGCTAACAGATGAATCTATGGTAATATATATGTCACTAGAATGGCCACCCATGTGTGTTTTTAAGTGGTTTCGACCCTACACACAATTTCTTTCTGGCTTATAAGTTTGAATTTCATTCCAGCTGTGTATTTTAGAACAATTAATGAATTAACAATATCATGGTCACAAATATATCATCCTATACATAAACACTTGTATAACCATTAACTTTCGTCTAAATTCAATTAAATACTGCCTAGAATGGAGTTAACTTTTTAGTTAGCTCTTCACACCATCATTCTTTTATAAACCTGGCTTTTTTTTACCATTACCATTGTTATCAGTAGTAGTAGTAGTAGTAGTAGTAGTAGTAGTATCGTTGTTATTATTCTCCCTAATTAGTCTAGTTTTAATATTTGGAAAATACTTTGCAGCATTTTAGTCACAAGACGTTTCTCCTAGACAAGTAAAAATCTTTTATTATACCATTGTGTAAATCCTGAATTATTTAGTCTAATTTTTCCAATTCACAGCTGATGTGCCTCACTACAAAATCATTATGTCTTTTGATTTGTCATAACAAGTTGACAACACTGGGTACTACTGATAATCAATGTTAATAAAATTTCGATACTCACTATATTGAGTAGTTTATTTACCGGGTCACCAGTATCCTCGTATTCCAGTAAATAAATTCATGAAACAACGACGTGCATAATACTTTTTCATATTGTAATGAGAAAATAACACAAATGCTTATAATACACTGTATCAATGTTTATCAGTTGAGTTATGATGATCATGAACTGAATGTTATATTACATAACATTTGTAAACAAAAATACCACTACAGTGATTGTTAGCCACATCATACTCAAAATGAATCATTCATGTCAATAACATTAAAGTTTTGCACTTTAACTGATAAAATGTTGTGTTTAAAAAAATCATCTAGTTTACACTTAACGATGCGCATAATTAGGTTTTGATGACTGTCAATCTATTCATCCATACCTTATTTTCCAACAGTGAACATGATTAATCTATTAATAAACATAACAAATACAGTGAAAATATTACCTATTTCGATGACGAAACATTTTTAACCTATTCACAGAACTCAGAGAATAAATGCATATTTATTATACTTATGGTGGATTACTAAGCCATTATTGTTGTAACACGATATTCCTTAATTATTTTATTGATGAATAATTCGTATTATTGAACAAGTAAATTACTCAAGTATTTCTCAGTCACTTCACAAGTCAAGATCCATTCATTTTTAATATGGTATCATCAGCAGTTAGGTTCAACTGATGAGGCGTAAGAAACCAAATAACACTAGAAAATCGGTTCCTTTTATGTTTATCTTTCTCAACAATCCCCACTCAAGGCCTCAACAACAATCAAATTTAGGGTACTCAGTTGGCGCATTGTGTACGATGGCTTTCGCCCAGTGAATTGTAACTGAATGGTCTACATTTCCAACTTTAGTTAATCCTTGATATAGTGCAATGATTATCCAGTTTCATATGTGATTCTGGTCTTACTGTCGACAAAATTAAACTGCGCCGAGCATAATTCATGACCACAACACATTTCTTTGTTTAGAATTGTAAGTTAAACAACAATAAACGTTTGTATTATCAGAAACGATAAAACAGATGAAATTATTTAGGAATAGTAAACTCTTTTAAGGCAGCATATAAATAAAAACACAGAGAAACTATCTGATCTAATAAATATCAACAAGCATTTACAATTTAATGAATGTGGTAATTTTATATTCCATAAATTTCTGAATGATAGATTCGTAGAAAGAATATCCATTAGCCCATCGAGTTACAGAAGTTATCATTGAGAATTGGACTGAGAATAATAAATTTTTCTCTACATGACCAATATTAGATTTTACAAGTCAGTTTTATTTTATCAAAAATTTACTCAGTGTTTTCCCTCTTGTTCAAAACAGCTTTTAAATTTAGCATATACTGACTATGACACTATCCTCTCTCATTGTGATCAGTGAATTACAGTTTGGTTCTTAAAAATGACATTTCACGGCTTCCTGATCGCCAGAAAATCAAAGTTTCAAAATTCAATCACATGTGGAACACTAGTTATGAGTTTGCAATGATGAGGATTCCCATATTAGTCTGTTCAATTCATCTAATAATTCACAGTCTTCGAGAGTCCCTCATACAACGTTAGTTTAGGAATGAAAAGTACTTCCAAATTATAGGAACTCTTCCCAGTACCACCTAATTAGGAAATAACTGTTTTATTTTCATTTTTAACATCATTAAAATTTAATCTAAAGAATGATTTCTTTATTTAGGATTTCAATAAATAGCTATTGAGACTAGGTCCTCTAGTTTACTTGTAAACGAACTGAAGACATAGTACTGAAGTGTACTAAAAACAATTTATTTTAAAAATGGATTTAAATCAGTAACTATGTGCAGTTCCGTTAATTTGACTCTTAACTATTCCACCTGTATGAGAATAGTATCATTCCCCATCAGTCAAATTAAATTAAGTGAGGTGGGTTAGAAAAAGTAGGTGGGAAATCAGTGTTTTACTTTATAAATCACCATGTGATTGATTCTACTTAAAGCGACCATTAGTTACAACATATAGTCAAGGTGAATAGTAAAATAAAGGATCTAATGATAATTCAATTGATTTTGATCGTGTATACTTTAAGAACTGACTTTTCAGATCATATTACACTCCATATATAGCTAGCTCATCTAAATATTATAAACTTTAATGATATATATACAGAGTTACCCTATGATATCCAGTTAACTTCTAGGAAGGAGTATCCGATAGAAACTGAAGGAGTCAATCCGTCTTTTATTTATAAAATATTGAGTTTCACTTTTTTCTTAAAACACTGTTAAGGTTAAATAACAATTAATCTTGACAGTCATATAATTTATGAATAATGTAAATATATGGTAACTAACTTCTTTCACAACGCTTCTCTTATCCATTGTGGTCTTTATATAAGTAGAATAGTCACACTCATTTGTATTATAATGATTATTTCTCTCAGTTTTACAATCGTTACTGCTATCACTAATATTATGAATACAATTTCTGTTAAGTTCATATGTCCATGAAGAATTGTTAGGTGATACTGACCTAGATGACTGTGATAAATCCTTTATTGAAATATCATTTAAATGTTCTAAATTTTGATTTGAATAATTCATTTCATTTGATGTTCGCGATAAAAAGGAAACAGCTGCAACCGCTGCAGTAGCCGCTTCCATAAATGTCATTGTTGATGATGTTGACCAGATTAGGTTAGGTGAATTATGAATGTCCGGTTGATAAGAATTTGAATAGTTAAACTGTTGATTGTCTGTACTTAATGGTATATCATCAGGTTTTATTCGAGGCAGTGACAAATCTAAAGCCTTTTCCTGATCTTCATGAAGCTCCTCACTTTGGCATTCCGAAATCGTTTCTTTCTGTTGTACAAATGTAATTGGTTGTGCAGTTTTCGTCGTCGCCGCTGTCATCATCATTTCCAACGGTGATGATTGTGGTGGTGGTGGTGGTGACGGTGGGGACTGCCGTGTTTCCATTATGCGTGAATTAAAATCCTGTTGTTTATAAGTAAAAGATGATAATGGAGTTGAGTAATTTAATACATTATTTCTGTGTAAATTCGAAATTATATGTTTCATGATATCTGGAGATAGTTGACAGAATATCATCGATGGATCCTGTTGTGAATAATTAGATGAGTACACTGTCGATGGTAAATTCGTCACATTTGTTGCTGATATAGACGATAATGAAGAAGATGAAGAAACACCGAGATAGGATATTGAAGGTGATGACGATAATGGTGAGAAAGAAGGTAAAGTAGAGAAAAAGGCAGAGGATGATAATGAGTTCGAAGCATAATTATCGACTTTATAACTTTCATACTTGGTAAAACTGTCATTATTGAACGACTTCGGTTGACGATTAAGTAATTCATGATTATTGACTACTGAGATCACTGGTGAAGATGTAACTATATTTGCATGTTGTATTGGATAATAGTGCGAATATTGTGTATTGTAGGCATTGATAAATTGTTTTTTCTGTTCCATACATTGATGTTGTTCAGTTGTATACAGATGTTGGAATAATTGTTCCGCATTTTCTGGTTTTATTCCAAGCATAATTGCTAAATTTTGTATTTCTAACTCTGATTTGGACGAATTTTTCAAATCGTACTGACTACATAATAACTCGTCAGGTTGTTCATCTGCATGATGTAAATTACTATTATTAGTAATTGTATTTAAAGTGGTAATAATACTACTACTAGTAGTACTGTGAACATGCTCACTAATTTCATCATTCTTTAACTGTGAATTAAACTGGTTCGATGAATTAGCTGGCAAATAGTTATCTAGTTTTAAATGATTAAATTTTAAAAAATAATCCGAATTATTAACTTGATTGACAGATTCTAATATACTTGAAACAGAGCTAAGTTCAGTGTCTTCATTGATATGAATACTATTTCTAATATCGTGTTCTCTATTTAACACATTTACCTTGTTTTTGTGTAATTCAAAAGATGACGTGAGTTGGTTTATTTTATTAAAAGATATTTGATTCGTAAGAGTATCATTAGTTGCAAACATTTGACCAACATCGTTAATATTTTTGTTATGATGAATACTGACATTAGGAGTATGTGTAATTGTTGTTTTAGCTTCATTATTACTGTTACCATTGGTATTACATTTTTTGCTTGACATATGACTTGAATATGAACCGGAATGGCTAAAACGTTTACCGCATTGTGAACACATAAATGGTTTTTCACCACTATGAATTCTTTCATGTTCTTTTAAATGATGCTTAAATTTAAATGCTTTTGTACACTGAGAACAACGGAATTTGCGTAATTCATAACTTTCAGTGTGACTAAGTAAATGTCTGTGTAAACGATAAATATTAGCAAATTGTTTACCACATTGACTACATATTGGTGTATTACGTGTAGATGAATCAATTTCCATGGTTGAATGTTGTTGCTCCACTGAATCATTATGTTCACGTTTATCCAATTTTGGTTGAATGGAATAATTAGTTGATGAGATATTTTCTTGGCATTGTTTTACATGTTGATTCACTTCTAATGTTGCTGTTGACGTATCAGGGTATAACTCCATTTTGCTCACTGTCAACTGTTTAGACAGTATTCTTCCACTTTTGGACAGTGATTTATGCTCCATGGAAATTTTTGGTTTTTTTGAATCAGGTTCACATGATGATGACGATGTTGAAGAGGATGATAAAGACGACAATGTCGAACATGGAGTAGATGAACAATTTGAAGTATTGATCATCCTTGAAGTTGGTGTTATCAATATTAATGGTGGGTTAGCTATGCTTCCAGTAGATATGTCAGGAGTTAAATAATTTGAAAATTCACAAGTTTTCAATGTTTGATATTGTTCAGTATGATCTGAAAATTTGTCAAAAATACATTTTAGTATATGATAGTCATCTTTGAGATAAGTAAAAGAGGTGAAAAGAAGTGGATTAATTGATCTCATTTGAATTCTGTGATCATAGAGAGTAACTGATGAATTCTTGTGAGACATACAAACACTTCTGACGGTGTGTTTACCTTCTATCTGAATTTCATTCACTTGAAATCAAGGTGAGTTTTAACTCCCTTTCTATAAATTCTACTTCTCACTACCCTCCCTCCCACCACATATATGCCCATTTACCATACCACCTGGCAAAACAGGTTACAGCATTTCACCTACTATTTTTGAAATATAATATGATAGAGGCAGTAACATCATACCACGCCTACATACACCTTTACAAAAACCACTGGTTAACACGTGGGCAAATAGGTTAACAACTTTACTATTCATATCCATACATATATGTTATGTATGTACCTATATATGAATCTATTCAACCAATTAGGATACAGGTGAGATATTGCACCGCAATGTTTTCATGTGTACTTTCCTACCCTGTCAGAGAAACTAACAAGGAGATTCTAGACATTTTCTACTAGGTAGGATTTAAATACATATTTGTATACGTAAAGAAACATACGTTCCCCGTTGGTCTATGTGTCTATGTATAGGATTTAAGCAATTCCTTGAAAGCTTTAGCACTAGTATACACCTGATGACAGTAGTTAAAGTAGAAAGTAATGGAATAAAGAACAATACGAAATGGAAAAAAAGGAGATGAAATTCGAAAAACGGGAATATGAACAATAATGTTCGGGGTTCACTATGTTCAGGTGTGAATTATTTTAGTAGGTCATCACATAAAGTGAATTGTCCAATCATTGATTTGCAAAGAACTGGACAACGCATTATTGGTATAAAATTGTATCGTAGTTTTAGTTCTCATTAGGTGAGCCATTCCATTAGATGAGATAGGAATTTACAAATTCACATGGCACACAATATGTATACACTAAGAATTGTTATTCATGAGCGAAAGTCACCTGTATGGCCTGGAAATTTTTCACAGTTGAAATCAAGAGTTGAATTAAGACAGGTCACCATTAAAAACCTGGAAGCACTGGACGACCGTTTCATCCTAGTACGGGACTCCTTAAAAGTGCGTATCCGTAATCTCGCGCGCTTAACCTCTAAGACGAGGATTCGGTATTCAACGGTATTAACGTCTTGCGTGCAGGATCGTGGATGCAGATTGTCAAGGAGTCCAATACTAGGATGAAATAGCCGTCGAGCGCTTTTAGGTTCTCAATGGTGGTCTAGCTTAGATCAACTCGTGATTTAAACTGTGAAAATACTACAATCTTCACAAATCCACATACTGAAAAATATTCACCATAAAGTAAAAATTATATATAATGCAATCACAGTTATATTGATAACTCGGAAATCTGCAACTTTCGCCATCACATTTAGGTTTCATTGAAAGTAATCTCTATCCAGACAGAAGCTCGAAATATTTACTGAGTTGTGTTTTTCCCAGCACCGCTCAAATCTGGAGTCAAAATAGCGTTCCGATGAAAACTTTCTTCAAGCCATTTAATTTTTCCCAAAATGTACATGAAAACATTACCATAACAATTACAATTTAATTATTTTCTATTGATTGTTTGAATTTTCCCATTTACATTATTGAACTGTAATTGATCATTCATTTTCGGCATATGCACATCCTTTGTGGATTGCCTCAATATTACCAATGAGTCGCAAACATGTCAAGCAAAGTTGGATGGTTCAGGCGTTGAAATCCCGAACGCTTAAAATCAAAATTTAGTTTAATATTTTTTAGCAAGTAGTCGACTTCATCGACTGACACCATTCAGTAAACCAAGAAAGACTGAATTTGCATTTCAGCCACGTTTAGGACCTGTCGGTAAAATGTCTACACAATCTTACATCACTGTCTAGATACTGTTAAAATCCAATTAGAGATCTTTTTTTTAAAGCTTAAACAATAGGTGAAGTAGCTTTATCCACATTTCCATTTGATAACTTTGTGAGTTTTAATGTGATTTTAGAGTAGCATTTAAAGCTAACAGCTTATCGATAGTTAATTTTTTGTATTTCACAAATTATAACATTTTAACCATTTAGTATCCTACAAGAATGATCCTAAAATGGATTTCACTGAAAGAAAAGAGATCTCCAAGAGAAAGATAACTGAACAGGACAAGTAAAATCAGTATAAAGTACACTACACATATCAATAAACAAGCAATATACTCAAGTTATTGGTAATTAGAAATCATATTTATATTCTATTAATAAGATTCCTAAATGTAAGATAAATGATGGAGAATAAGATAATTTATACTAACAATTGATAGTAGAGTATAATGAAACTTCACGTATTCAGTATAGTGCAAAGTTCCTTCAAGTAAATTTTTATTTAAAAGGAACTTCATCACCTCATCATAAAATTAAAATCAACAAGAGATAATTTGATAAGAAAAAATATAAAGACATAAGTCAGTAAAAGATTGTCTACCAGTCGGTTATCTATGGTCAATCTAATATTGAACTCAGAATTTAAATATTTAAACAACAAACTAATCATCAATAAATAATTTTTGAAATTTGGAATTTTTTTATTATTCCGTTTTAAAAATGAAGAATATTTGAGCGAACAATTGTTTTCAATAACTTCATTATCAGGCTGTACAGTTATAAGTCCAAGGTGGTCCCCACCATGTATGACCTGACTCAGTATACGTAGATAACCTCCTTGACTGATGATCCGTATACTTGGGAAATTAACATTTACTTTAATCGGTTAAGAATAGAATCAAATTCAAAAGTATGTTATATAAGAATTTTTTAAAAAAAGTGTGAAAACCATATTTAGTAGAGAAAAACTTAAAATTAATCTTATTTATTTATTCTGTTGTTTTCCTATTGTCGCGGTAATGATATTTGTACTTTATCATGTCAATAAAGCACTTCATTCTACCTTTCTATTATACATTTCGTTATATATATTCAGTTAATTATTTGAATAATGATAAGCACTTAGATAGAGGTAGTCAATACTATTCATATTTTAACCATTACCAATCGTCCATCTGTCTACAAACATATTCACATATCAAAATTAAAATGATTAACCTTTGATTTCACATAAATGTTTATAAATATACATCTATGTATAATGTGTCAATGTTCACAGGTATGTGAAAATGCAAGTCTATGTCAAGGTGAAGGTAAACTTTAGTGAAAATTTTTATTCTAATAAGTAGGTTGCTGAAATTTAAGTTGATTTTGAAGATGCTTACAATTAGGTACCGATGTTAGCTGGATAAAACTTGAAAATCAGAAGACATTATACTATTGTTTAATCAGCAACATACAGCTTTGGATGATACATATTCTATAAAAAAAAAACAAGTGGATCGAGACTAAAAGGGTTTGTTTTTCATAATATAAGGGTATTTAAGCAATTGTCTCACTTTTGTTTCCATTGTCAACAACGTCACTGTAAGCTTCCAGAAGACAAGCTCTCTATTTGTTTAGTCATTTTATTCTTATTGTCTTTATGTCGTCTGAGTGGCTCTTCCTCATGACCATTTTGTATTTTAATAAAAGTAAATCTGTGTAGAATAAGTTCTGTAACTAAAGGAAGTGATCTAGTGTTATAATCGAATTAGATGGGTGGGATCGCTGGAGAGTCTCTGTTGAGTGTGTAATGTCTTATCACTATGCAGCAGCTATCTATCAGTATCACAATAGTTTGGTTGTATTTCCTTTTCTCTGGTTTCGACTGGATGTCATGCACACAGAACCATGATTAATTATGTCTATAACTAACAACTTTGACTGTAGCTGATACCTTGACATAGTTGTCGAACTTGCATATCGTGATAAACCAGAAGAGTTATATTAGTTGGCACAACTGTCCCTTTAATTCATATCATATTATCATGCCGGTCGGGTCGGGTGGACAATGGTGTAAATAAAAGCAACGACTAAAGGTTCGAGAGTAGAGTTATACCGCTGACTGAGCTTGAGTGTGAAAGTAGTGAGGTGTTTCCCTAAAATAAACGTTATCTGCAGTGATGTCAACTTTTTATCAAGGAAGAAAACGGTTAGAAAATGTCGGTCCCATGGATTTCAGTCTCTCGCGATAAGGTCTTTAAGATACAGACATAACGCATAGAAAACTTCTCGCGTAAAGCTCATGTGTGATCGGTCTCAAGTATTTGTCCCTTGGGCTCTGCGGTTACGTTCACATGTAATCATGACCACTATTAATCCACCTCATTTTCAGGTACCTTGATAAGTACTCTTCCATGGTTTGGGTACCCAGGAGATAATAACAGCCCACATAACTTTAACAGAACTCGAGATCCTCTTGTTCACGATAAAACATTTGATCGCTTCTCAGTATTCCTTCTGTCCTCACTATCAACCTTTTTCCTATTACTTTATCACCGAGTCATTGCTAAAGATTTGGATTCCCGGAATTTTATTCCTCGTTTCCTGAAACCATCTTCTGAACTAAATGTTGAAGATGTCAATATTAGGACTTCATGTCAAGTAGAACAAAAGGTTTATCTAATTAGAACTCTTGAATTTTTTATGTACTATGTCGACGAAACACACACGCTGGGTCCAAGTATGGACATCTGTATGACCTGACTCAGTATACGTAGATAACCTCCTTGACTGATGATCCGTATACTTGGGAAATTAACATTTACTTTAATCGGTTAAGAATAGAATCTAGTTCAAAAGTATGTTAGACTATCATAGACTGGATTTCAGTAGAAAAGTACTTATGTGCAATCCATTTCAAGTGGGTCGTATAAATTAGAGCAGATAGGGAAAAATTCACTACCTCATCTCTTTAGTTTCTATCACGAGAGTGGTTGTGGATGATCACTGCTAACGAGTCTTATAACAGAACGAAAAATATACACACTCATTTCCCTTCCTAAATTGTTGTCCAACCAATATCAATACACGAAGTAAAT